TGGGGGGGTGGACGTGGACTCTCCCTTAAAATGCTGCAAAATATAAACATTTTGTCCAAATGGCTTTTTAAAATGCAGTATATGATATGTCCTCCAGCAGAATGAAATACAGTGCATGTTTCATAAGCATCATTGTCTGCCCATCTCCACTGTCCTTCTTCTGAGCACTGACCTTCTGCTGAGGTTACAGTTTGGAAGTGTGCCCATATAGCTCTATATGCGGGCACTTATATGCGTTCAGACCGCCATGGATAAAATCCTTGAGGAGGTCTGATGTTTAGTATTGACATTTAGTAATGTGAATGACACTCACAATCCTTCACATGACACCCTGTCTATGTTGTCCTGGGACAAAGAGCATGTCACACATGACCAGAACATGGTGTGGAGTGGAAATGGACCCGGGAGAGGTTTTTATTTTTTTCAGACTGTGCCTTAAAAGACTATTAGCCCATTAGAATTAAAGAAATATGGAATTTGTAAAACTGGAAAATTGATATTCAACACTTTACAATAAGGTTCAATTGTAAATGCATTAGGAATCATGAATCACAATGAAAACATTTATTAATCTAGGTTAAAGTTCATTTATAAATATACTATTGTTCATGGTTACTAATGTTTGTTAATAATACATTAAAGCTGCAGTCCGTAAATTTTGCCTCTTTGTCGCCGTTCAAATTATTATTATTGTTATACTTTATTCTCAAATTATTAATGTTAATAACATCAGCATTGGTGACTATGAGTATAGTGTGTATTAGCGTGCAGATTTCAATTTCTGCACAGTCTAATCTAATAATTATTTTAACCCAAAAAGCAAATTATGCTCCCTTCGAACTTGTTTTCTTTAAAATACAAATATTTGTAATCCCAGGCTATCTGTAATCAGAAGCACATTTATAACTGGAATATAATTTAATTTCATTCACATGTGTTTCATAAACACATAATTATAATCCGCCATCAAAATGATACATTTAATTATTATGGCTGCTGTGAGAAAAGACTATTATCGATCGGCCACCTGCAGCATTCTCACATGCAATAGCCTAGTAGCCGGGACAACTTCTTTATGTTTACAGACGTGACGTAATGACGCAGTGCCATGCTCGAATTTCCCGCGAAAACCTACCCGTAACACTCAAATTAGAAAACATTATTATAAGCTAACCGTTGTGAATCGGGCTAAAGTAAGGCGATAGTTTTGAACACTGGCTGGTTATGTACTTGCTCAAATATTGATTTCGGATCATTTTTAACCAAAAAAAGTTACGGACTGCAGCTTTAATATTAATGTTAATTAAATTTAATTAATTTTAGATGTTAAAAATTAATTAATTAAATTTAATTAATTTAAAATGTTAAAAATGTGTTAGGATATGTAGAATTAACCAAGATTAATAAATGCTGTAACTGAACCTTACTGTAACTCTATTAAAAAAAATTTAAGGTGGGGATAACAAAAACATTTTGTGAAATGTAAAAATTTGCTAACTAAGAAAACATGATGAAGTGTTCCTTTCACACATGCAAATAAAGTCTAAAGGTCATATCATAGTAATGCACTACCCTCTAACTGGAAATTACATAAACATGATTTCATCTTGTGCCCAGATATTATTATTATTTAAAAACATTAAAATAACTTTTTGGTTAAGTTACTATATAGCAAACTCAGAGCTTCACCTGTGAGCAGGAAACTAAACTGACATTTACAAACCTTGTTAAACTCATTTATATCAGTATGCGTTTTATAAAGCCACCGAGTGACAATTCCATCCATTTACATCAAATTTGCGTAATAGCAAGAAATTCAGATTTTCGGCACCATTATGTGAAGTATGAGGTCCATGAAATCGTTGTGCTCCTGTAGTGCCATTTGTGGGCTCTTGTGAATTATCTTCAGGGACAACACGAATTAGCACTGATGTGCACCACCCGCTAATGTCTACACAGATACCAATGCTATCTCTCGTTTTTTTCTCTTCTGTAATTAGGAAATGGCAGTTTATTTAACAGAATCTCACACACAAGCATCTGTTGACAGCAGGAAAAGTTTGCATTCCCATGCACGGGTGTAATTGGTGCGCTAATCTGCACAGCAGTGGCCCTTGTTACACCCCGCTGCAGTTTCTGCACAAGAGAATCACGCTACAAGGTGGCAAATACTTTTCTGGACTGTGCTGATTTAGGTTTTTTTTTTTTTTTTTTGTCAAAGCACCATGATAGAGGTTTAGTTTAAGTGTCAATTAGATCCGACGGTTTAAATCTAACCAGAAGTATCAGCATCTGCAGTACAGGAACTGATTAGGCCCATCATTACTCTTGACTTACCGTATGCAAATGTATAAATTGCTGTAATCCTTTAGTAATAATATAGATGCAGCTACAGCAACAGGAAAGGGGGAGATGACAGTGATTAAAAATAAAAAAACCCCAGAAAGATTAATGAAAAGTTCCTCTGAGGCTTTGATGCAGGTGGCACAAAGACGGCAGAGGTTTGAGATTACACACGTCAACGGCAGAGCGCATTGGTATTCCAACAACATGCGGCACATTTAATTGCTCCACATCCTGCTGGTTCCTCTATGGACCTCGACAAGTGACGCCTTATGAATGAGCAAACAGGTCAGAGCACGACGGGAGGAATCATAATTCTCTCTCTCTCGCTCTCTCTCTCTCTCTCTCTCTCACACACACACACACACACACATACACACACATGCACACTTTCTCTTTCTCTCCCTTCTTCCTTTTGGTTTGGAAGCCTCACATTCCTTAATTGTTGGCCAGCCAAGATTCATAAGGCAGGAGATTAATGTGGAGCTTTGTGCAAACTATGTCTTGCATTATAGCGAAACTAAAGATGTAGGAGTAATATTTTAAGTTAGATGGTTAGTTGATGAATTATAGTTGCAGGAAAAAGAATGTGAACCCTTTATCATGGATTTCTGTGGAAATTAGCCATTAAATTAGATCTGATCTTCAACAGACTGCTTTAATGAATCAGACAAACAATAATACATTTTGTCTTAATTGAACACAATGTTCAAAAATTCACAGTGGAGTGGAAAAAGCATGTAAATAAATGTGATTTGTTTAGGCAGATTATGTTTGTCTATTGATGTAAGCAAGATCAAATTTCATGACCAATTCATGCAGAAATTCATGTTAAATCCATCTTTTTCTTGTCACTATAATATATAAACGATTGCCACAGCACAGTCAAAATCACTGTGGAAAACAACTGCATGAGGTATCGGGAAATCATTTCAGACATCTGACTTGGTATTTTCCGACTGTTTTTTTCATGCGTTTCAAATGTCAAAACTTTGCCCTTCGAGCTGCACCAGTGTGAACTTATGTTTACATTTCTGGCACTACACATGTGTGCAAGGACTTTCACGTTTATATGCATGCGTGAAAGCGGTCACAGGTTGTTTGGCTTTGTGTAGAAGGCAGTGAGCAAATTTCCTTTCAATTGGAGTGCTACTATGCGTTTGGTGCTTCGATTAACGTCACTGTCAGAAAACATCACTGAGGCAATTTCTCAAAACATGAGGCACAAGCTGATGGGTGAGGGACAGCAAAGAACAGAGGAACAAGAGGGGAAGGACAGAGCATGGGAAAAGCAATACTGAGAACAACAACACAGCAACTAATACAATGATGCTGTTGTTTCAATACATATGCTACTTTCGATAAATTGCTATTCTGTATGTACAATCTAAGTACTGCTACATTTCTTCAAAGTCATGTTCAGTAGCCCCTCCTACTGTGAAATCTCATTGGCTCACACAATATATATGCACAATATATACATCATGTTGTTTTCTGGCCACTGTCGGAGATTTATAAATTCATCGTTATCATTGATATTATATTATATGATATATGACAACTAATAATATTTTAATAAAAACTGTTAAATGTATTCTATAGCAAATTGTTTACAAAAAAAATACACTACTGTTCAAAAGTTTGGGGTCAGTTTTTTTTTTTTTTTTTAAGAAATTAATACTTTTATTTACCAAAGACACATTCATTTGATCAAAAGCAAGAGTAAAGACATTGACAATAATAATATTTTTTTTCTTGAGCAGCAAAGACTGTAGTAATGGCTGCTGAAAAATAAGCTTTGCCATCACAGAAATAAATTAGGCTACATATTTAAAATATATATTTAAATAAAAAAATTGTTATTTTTAATTGCACTAATATTTCATAATAGTATTGTTTTTACTGTATTTTTG